GCAACGTCTTCGTGCACGCGTTCTCGCGCCAAGTCTCTTTGCGCCGCGTCACGACGCTCAAATAATATATCAACGCAAACCTATTGATCGCGCTCGGTCAAAATTGTGAAAGTTTTGCGGTTGCACCGAAACCTATCCCCGTCCGCTTGTGTGCACGCGCGTTACTTCACAGCGTGCGCGCACAACCATGTACATCCGCGTCTCTGATCGATAGTATATTTCTGGCTGGCACACGGAACCGCTCGTCGACGTGAGGCGTTCCACTTTTCTACGTTTCCCACCAGTGATCCCCTTGCACCCCAGCCATCCTTCCCGCCAGTTACCACCGAAATTTTCTATGTCGTCTCTTTTTGCCGGCGTTGGCTCACCGTCGGCATCGGCGTCGGTTGGCTCTCTTTCTCTCTCTCTCTCTCTCTCTCTCTCTCTCTCTCTCTCTCTCTCTCTCTCTCTCTCTCTCTCTCTCTCTCTCTCTCTTCCTCCGCGTTCGGTCGTTCCATCCTCTCGCGTCGTCCGTCTCTTTTTCTCTTTAAGCGCGGAAAACTTTTTCGCGGCGAGCAGACTGGATTGAACCGATAGAAATGCGGCCGATGCAAGAGATCGATGAGCCTCAAACTCGAGATGGACGGGCGTAAAAAGGAAATTAGTAACGTCTCATTCGAGGCGTTAATTTCGAGAAACTTTCATCAATTCCTTATTCTCGCTCTTTCAAGAATACGATTGTGTTTTTTTTTCACTCTCGCATCTTGACAACGATTGGTGCGACGCGACGGTTAAATGAATTCGTCTTACTACATCTTTTAAAAGATATTTATTGCTTTAGGACTGAATAAATAAAAAATAAGAAAAGATCGAGAATGATGAGTTTATTTAAATAATTCTGAATGATTTCGGGCGTGTGCTTCCCTAGCTACGCCACTGATTCTATCCTAATGGAGCTATCATCATCGATGGTCCATCACGTTCGTCGGCGCTAATAAATCTCAATGGCGCAAACGTGACAAGACAGCCAAGGCAGCTTTCTTGAGCCATCCATCCCGTTTGATTGGAAACTCTGGGGTCAATCGACAATCTTTCCTTTGTCCGTCAATTCGTTGGTTAATCGACCAAGACGTTAAGGACCCAGAGCGCTCTAAGCGTATCTATCTGAACCAACTTCTCTATGAGATCGTATCGTTAGCAATATCCCGATCGCGTACTCCTTAATTGTTTCGCCTGCCAGTTCTCGGCCAGTGCAATAAGCTTTGGGGAGTCGCGTCAAGTAGAGTATTTTCGTGCACCCTCGTATGTCGCGGTGTTTCTTTCATAGAACTAAATAAACTTGTCGTACGTGACAGGACTTAGCCATAAGTCCGTCTTGCAAAAAGCTCGCACGAAGAACGGATGGTCTCCTCAACGGACCGACGCGAACAATATCCGGCACTTTGCGATGCGACGTAATTGCGACCTTACTCCAGGAAAATTAGCTCGCGACTCACGAGAATGACAATCGGACTTTAATTAAAAAACCTTACAAAAAACTTTTCTTTTTCTAACTATTTCAAACTATTCTTTTTTTAAGAGATAAAATTCATAACTGAATAACGGTTAAATTTCAGTGGCTTTTGTTGCGGATATTATATGGAAAACGTCTCTGAATTTACGTGATCAGTGATAAGCCAATCATACAATATCACCAATGTTGTTGCGTAGCGTAGTAAAATTTTAATAAAAATCGATAACGAGATCTGTAATCGGACGTATTTCGAGGTTGGGACAATCCAAAGTAGCCGCAATACAGCGGTTGATTCATGATAGTTGAAGCAGGACATTGGTCTACCTGACGCAGATATATTGTACGGCCTACATTTGTATTCTCGGAATTACGTTTCTGCTCTGTTGGCTGCGTTTCCGAAATATGTGTTTAAATTTACGCGAATATATATCCAACATTGCTTCGAGAGCGTTTAATTCACTTTTATATGAAATATATATATATTTCATATA